TATATATACGTATATTAGCTGAATAAAACTACTAAAGGTCTTGACCGTTTCATTGCGACTAGTGGGCACAGACGCTAGCTACGTATAGCAAGCTGGGCTGATTGAAAACGAATACCCATCACGGAACAATGAGCGCTACCACAAAACAGTACTCGGTGGACCTGGACAGACGCGGCGTGCCGGACCCTTCTGAGCTGTGAATGCGCCGTCGTCGTTTCAATAAATGTTAATTAATTACTTTGATTGGGGATGTAGCGTTTCTCCACTAGACTTCTAGCCACCTCGCTCTGTTAGTCTATCATAATTCTCGAAGACTAACAGTAAAAGGGTCACTAATATAACGCTATAGAATCAACCAGATGCGGTGGACAGACGCTGCCCATATACGGGTTACCCGAACAAAAAAAGCTGCAAGAACAGCATCGGCGCATATAGCGGGTTTACACGTAAAATTATAGGGAGAGAGTTAGAGGCCATGCGGCAATCATGGCGTTTTTTTCTGAATCAAGCATGCTGCCATGGTACGACGATGGGTAGCATAACGAGATTAGTTCGTGGAGATCAAGGACAAAACGATACCTTCCTCGCATTCGTACCTGATCACGTCGAGCGCGTAAAAAACAAGCAGAGCAGGCATCGATAGCGAACATAATTATTCCAAACATTAGCATTCAAAAACTAACAAGCATTAATGGCAAGGTAATTATACCAACCAGGCTCAGTGACTCGAACGTATTTTCTGGGGTGCTGTAGTAAAACGATATGGAGGATGTTGTACAGTTTCCCGTTAGGTATAATATACACTGTGACTAGCCAAACTGATCAACTTATTGAAACATATGTCGATTCTTTTTTGTTTGTTTTCCACCTACGTATTAAATAAACGTGTATTTAAATCATTCAATTAGGACGGGACACTCTTTCAGTTGAGAACGAGCGGTCCTTCTCAAGGTGTTTATGTGCAGCTTGTCATTAACTGATCATAGCTTAAACATTACGTTAACATTATATTGACTGACATAACATTACACGATTGTCTGGACGGATAGCTGAGAAGGCTGGTTAAAGCCCCGTCAATGACGTATGCTAGATGAAAGATATGATTAAACAAAGAAAGTTCAACGATAAATTGAAAGTTTGCGCTCTTGTCAAACGAGTTAAGTGGCTCGAGTAGACTTGGGAGCATTATTGGATCCATTTTGTTCTTGGGCATATAAAAAAATAGTCTTTTTTCAGAAAAATCAGATCCACTATTACGTCGTTACCGTTACACGCACCATCTTGCCTTCATCCACCAGAAGATCCAGAACGGCACCACATTCTAGCAAGGTGTGTGTCATCATTCGCCTACATGCCATTATGACGTCTTTTATGAGCGAGTTCGCATATCGTTTCCGTGTGGCCGAGTGTTATATAGGATTCGGATGCGGCCGAGGGGCAACGCTATTTTATTCATATCCTAGATGATTGCCGTTCTTCTCAGAGCAGACGCGCCTAGGAAGGGCTAATTGTCGAAGACGGCAACACTTTCAGAACCACGAGAGGGGTCCGGAAACCGCAAGCAGTGAATAAAAGACAGTAGGACATAAGAATTAAAAACATTTGTTTTCCGTTCGAATCATGGGTATTCAAGGTCAGTGCAAAGACCTAGTGTTAGTTCCTCTTTCGACACCACCAATATCCCGGAGCATTGGGAAGGTCTGGCAAAAAGAAGGAAAAACAAACAGAAACTCTTCTATCATAATTATGTCACAGTGACTGTCTCGTCTGTCAGACGTGCTGCTGCTGCTGCTGCTGCTGCTGCTGCTGCTGCGCGAATACCGTGTACGCGAACTGAAAACCCAATTTACAGAACATTGAATGCGCGATGCACCTTATTCCCAATCAGTATAACGCGTCTTAAGCGCGTTTTTTTCTTGAGTACGCTTTTTTCCTTCTTTCGCAAAAATTTTCATTCAACAAATGGCTACCGTGCTTGACATACGTATTCAACTGGCAAGAACAAAAGACACTATGGTAAGCAGTTATGAGAGAAAAGTTGTCAAGAACAATACCCATATACTACAACAAGGCGTATTTCTAATTGAAACCTTCTAAAGCACTGCCCAGAAAAAAATCTTCTGAAGTCTAGTACGTATGTGAATTAATAAAGAGTAGATTCTAAACAATACTGAAGAGTGTTTTACCATAAAATAAAACGGTACACTAACCTTTTTTGTTCCCCCGGATAGGTAAAAAAAAAAAAGCTGTGTTGTGTATTCTATTTGCAATACAGGAACGCGGGCTATGTACTTACATATATGTCGGTATCGTAAGTATTATACATGTATATGCTGACAGCCCACTTTACATTTACATGCATTGTTAATACGTACAGGGTACTCGCGTGTTTTTCTTACGGATCTAAGTTTGTAGTCGGAACATCATGTGGCGCTAAGTCACAACAGTACTACCGTTGTCGCCTTCGAAACGGCGTAGAGATAAAAAAAAAAAAAAGCCATAGCAATTATGGCAACGTCGTGCGACTCCATTCGCGAGCGCAGGTGGAGCTTAGCGACAAGATGGCAAGCCTTGGCAAAGCTGTACATAGATTGAATAAAGTGCAGCTTAAAAGAAACGCGTGAAGCACCTGTTTTCACCATTGGGTGCCGTCCATTGTCTTTATTTGATCGATACTGTTCGTCGTATCGTTCTCTCCACAGCCGACCATTGCGGCCCGGTGTGTTACTTATTCGACCATGTGACCGTAAAAAAAATCCCCCCCCGTCCTCCACCCCCGAATCAAACGCCTCAGCTCAGTTCCGTCGCCAGCTTGCGCGCGGCCCTTGTAATTCATATCGACCTCGATGTAAGCGTACGAGCCAGTACGCACTAGAGAAAGGGATAGCAAGTAACTACGTTTTTGTTGTTGCGAAGCTTGTTTATGGATACGTAATACTGATGTTCATGGATCTTGCTTGCTGCACGCGAATTACTTACGTATGTAACGTCTCAATCGTTGAACGCAACTGCGACACGAGGTAGCTCATAGGGTTTAAGGAACGTCCCGTTTCTTCATTTCTTAGTGGTGAGTGAGATCATCACTTAACAATGCTGTTTACGCTGGCAGCGGTGATGATCGCGGCAGTATTGTTGAAGCCGAAGAGGCCTACGTTGCCTCAGCTGTTTACAGCCTGTGTTCCAAGTGGTCCGTGTATGCGCCGCGTGTGCACGGTGCGAATGGGTAAGTCGTTTATG